ACCAGGTCTGTTTTTTTTTAGCCCAGGTAAGACGCTTCTGACATTGTTGTATAGGAGAGGCTTTACAAGAGGAATATGACATTTGAAGCCCATGTCCAGGATCCATCTGTGTGTGGTGGCTCTTGATACACTGACTCCAGCCTCAGTCCACTCCTTGTGAAATTCCCCAACACTTTTGAATGGCCTTTTCCTTACAATCCTCTCCAGGCTGCGGTAATCCCTGCTGCTTGAGCACCTTTTTCTTCCACACTTTTCCCTTCCACATAACTTTCTATTAATGTGCTTTGATACAGCACTTTGGGAACATCCAACTTCTTTTGCAATTACCTTTTGAGGCTTTCCCTCCTTATGGAGGGTGTCAATGATGGTTTTCTGCACAACTGTCAGGTCAGCAGTCTTTCCCATGATTGTGATTCCTACTGAACCAGACTGAGAGACCATTTAAAGGCTCAGGAACCCTTTGCAGGTGTTATGGCTTAATTAGCTGATTAGAGTGGGACACTTTGAGCCTAGAATATTGCACCTTTTCACAATATTCTAATTTTCTGAGATTGTGGATTTGCGGTTTTCATGAGCTGTAAGCCATAATTAGAGATGAGCGAATCGAACAGATGAAGTGGAATTCGTTCCGAAGATTTGGAAAAATTCTATTCGCGACGAATCCGAAGATTAGCAAACTTCAGATGCACGAATCGAATTTTTCCCAAAAATGGCGGCGACATGTGTGGCGACGGAGAAAATGGACAGAGAAGATGGGGCGGGGATCTCTGGGAAGGCGCGCAGACAAGGCGCGCTGACCCATAATGCATTCATGACATTGATCGCATTAGCCAATCAGCAGCCAGCCAGCACTGTGTAATGGTGGAGCTATAAATCGCGGCCATCTTAGAATTCTCCATTAGCCTCCGGTCATTCAAGAGAGACAGACCTGTGTGTATTAAGGGACAGAGTTAGGGCCACAGAGACTTTAGGGCCACAGAATCGTTACTCAGGGACACAGAATCATTACTCAGGGACACAGAATCGTTACTTAGGGCCACAGCTATCAAAGAATCGAAAATTTAAAGTGACATACACCCTTTTTTTTTTTGGTGGCTGTCGTGCACAGTTGGTGCTGCAGTTTGCCGATTGTGCAAAATAAACTGACTTTCTGCTTCACAACCACTATTGTACGTTCAAAGAGTTAGATCCATTTACAGCCGGGTGGCGGTAATATTTTTTGGGTGATTAGTGCATTCCAGTGACATAAACGTACAGTTTCCAGCCAACGGCAAGCTGCAATTGACCGATTGTGCTAAATAAACTGACTTTCTGCTTCACAACCACTATTGTACGTTCAAAGAGTTAAATCCATTTACACGCCGGCTGGCGGTAATATTTTTTGGGTGATTAGTGCATTCCAGTGACAGAAACGTACAGTTTCCAGCCAACGGCAAGCTGCAATTGACCGATTGTGCTAAATAAAACTGACTTTCTGCTTCACAACCACCCCATTGCTGCTGTCTCCATCGCCACACTCTGCCATGTGCCACTTTCAGGTCTCCTCACACTGCTGGTGTGTTCCATTTTGTCATAGGGTGCTGTATGGCCTCCCATTGCTGCTGCCTCCACCGCCACACTGTGGCTCCACACTCTGGTTTTGGCCCCGTGACTGCCCAAATGAGTGAAGTGTGCGGTGATTCTAAGATCGACGGCACTCATCTGCATGTCATACTGACTGTCAGTATTATTTCTCTTCCCCAGCAGACTCCAAGGGCATTTAAATTAAAGGTACAGTGTTCTGCACTAATATAAAGGCTCTCTGAAGCCTAGAAACACCCTTTTTATAAGTTAAATTCGCAGCGAATATATTCGGCTCGAAGAAAATTTATTCGGCGAATTCGGCGAATCAGCCGAACCGAATTTTTGAATAATTCGCTCATCTCTAGCCATAATCATCACAATTATGACAAATCACGGCTTGAACTATCTTGCTTTGCATGTAATGAGTTTATCTCATATATTAGTTTCACCTTTTAAGTTGCATTACTGAAATAAACGAACTTTTGCACGATATTCTAATTTTTTTGATTTTCACCTGTGTATACACACATGATTTTGCATTTCTGGGATTTTGCCGTGGCTGTCAATCACCAGGTTCCGTCCGGTGATTACTCGCCAGTGCTCGGTGATTGCCGAGGGAAACAAAACAGTTCTCCTCTTTGTCAGCTCATGCACACTGCTTTGTATGGCTGTGTAGAGCACAGCCATGCAAAGCAGTGTGCTTACAGTGAAGCACACAGACACAGCACATAGTAAAACAGCACACAGTTAACACTTTGATTGCCCCTCATGTTAAACCACTTCCCACCCAGTGCCATTAGTACAGTGTCAGTGCTTTATTTTTTTGACAACACCAGTGACACCAGGTCAGTTCCCCCCAGTGTCAGAATGCCCACCGCAGTCCCACTATAAGTCGCTGATCGCCGCCATTACTAGTAAAATAAAAATAAAAATTTATATATACCGCCATTTGTAAACACTATAAATTTCATGTAAACCAATTAATTTACATGTATTGGGAGTTTTTTTTTTAGCAAAGATGTAGCAGAATACATTTTGGCCTAAATTTATGATGGAATTTTATTTTTTTTACTGGACATATTTAATATCAAAAAGTCAAAAATGTTGTTTTTTTCTCATAATGTCGGTCTTTTTTTTTTATAGCGCAAACAATAAAAAACACACAGGTGATTGAATACCACCGAAAGAAAGCTCAATTAATGGGGAAAACTTAAATTTCACTTGGGTGCAGCGCTGCATGACCGCGCAATTGTCAGTTAAAGTAACACAGTGCCGTAACGCAAAAAATTGGCCTGGTCGGGAAGGGGGGTAAATCCTCTGGAGGGCAAGTGGTTAATAAAGTAGAAAAGGGTGAGAATTAGTGTTGGGCTTGATGTTCGAGTTGAACATAAGTTCAATTCGAACATCAGCCGTTCGTCTGTTCAGCGACCACACAAAACTGTAAGGGCGTACAGCGGGCTCCACAATGCACTGCGCCCTGACAGTGCATTGGGTATTGCCAAAGTTCGACTCGAACTTCAACCATTTGTGTGTTTCAACGAAAACACGAACAGTAAGGCCATTTGCCGCTCCCCACACTGCAGTGCGCCCTGACACTGCATTGTGATTGGTCAATGCACCTGACCACAAGTCACATGCAATGCTTTGACCAATCATAGCACATATTAATGTCACAAGGGGGCAGGGTGACCCTGCCCCCTTGTGACATCAGCACAGTATTTAAGAACTGTCATCCCTGTGCAGTTGACAGCTGAAGCCAGCTTTGAGAGCGGAGTGGATTTTTTTTTCAGGTCAGCAGTGGTGGCAGGCATCATGATTGACGTTGGATCTCCTTTGGGGGACTTTTTTTAACTTTTGTTTTTAATTAAGGACTTGTCAAAGACTGTCTACTGGCATTTTGTTACACTACACTTTTTTTTTTTGTAAATGAGTAGTGGTACCATGTACACCATACTCATTCACATGGTAGGGGGGTGTGATTTGGGGGCCCCTTTGCTAAAGGGGGCTTCCAGATTCCGATAAGCCCCCCGCCTGCAGACCCCCACAGCCACTGGCCACAGTTTTGTGGTGAAGAGGCCCTTGTCCCTATCAACATGGAGGACAATGTGTATTGGGGGGGAGCCCCCCTGCCCCAGAGAACTCCCCCATGTTGAGGGCATGTGGACTGGTATGGCTTGGGGAGGTGCTCGCTCGTCCCCCCCTCTTTCTTGACCTGCAGGGCTGCTTTATTTAAAAATTTTGGTGTGGGGGGTTCACCTCAAAATCCATACCAGACCCGAAGGGAACCTAAGCATTTTTTTTTCATTGCCGGGCAATGCCGGCATTTCTTTTTGCATTCAGCTATTAGTGGGGTATCCTGCTGACAGCTGAAACAGTAAAGAATGTTTTCACTACTAAAATACCACATAACTTAGTAATATAACTCATGTAGCATTTTAGTAGCTGTGCGGTATCTTGCCACACATACTCAGATGTGGTAAGATATCTCTTAGTGAATTGTCTCTGTTCAAAGTTTGCAGTCGAACTTTTGTTAGGTTCAAATGTTTGAGCGCGAACCGAACAGGGGGGGTGTTCAGCCCATCACTAGTGAGAATGTATATTGTTATAAAATGTGGAATTTCCAGTGTGAGTTAACGTTTTCCATGATACCATTAAATATTTATTCAACCCAGAGGTGCCAGTCATGTGCACTGAAAATAATATTTTATGATTTTTTTTTTTTTGCTATTTAAAAAACAAAACAAAATTTAATGATGTAAACACGGAAGGGTAATGGCAAGCACCAACTTGCAAAAGGACAAAAACTTAACATGTAAATTATGTTCAATAATGACAAGTAGTTGACAGGTGAAAAAAATATACAGTATATGATCAGAAACAATATATAACATATCAGATCTTTAATAGCAGATAGATAACATGCATAAGCGTGCTAGAATAGCATTAGAAATCAGTACAATCATTTTCATATATACATTTCATAAACCATACATTCATACATCTTGATAAACCATAAAAGATCAATCTTCCCTCACATTTACATGATCCTTTCAGTGAATTGTGTTGTTACCCTGCCACACGTTTTCAACAAAAAAACTGCACTTTAATTGCACCGTGATTTTGAATGAATGCCTGATTATGTATTTGAATGTGTTCTACAATCTGATTATTTCCTATAATAATGTTTGTGCAGCATCTGTGCATAATTTGAATTTTTGACTTCTATATCATTATGGAAAGAGTTTAATTATATTCTTTGAAAAATACAATATAAAATAATATTCGGCATACTTGTTTATGCAAAGCAGAAATATTTTAGTGTGATGCAAAATAGGCATTTGTTTACAACCATGCTAAGTTTCTTCTTTCTACTTTCCTTTTTTCAACAGGGATTCAGTAATCAAGTGGATGTGTCTTATATTGCCAAACATTACAACATGAGCAAAAGTAAAGTTGACAACCAGTTCTACAGTGTGGAAGTAGGGGACTCGACCTTCACGGTTCTGAAACGCTACCAGAATCTCAAGCCTATAGGCTCTGGGGCTCAGGGAATAGTTTGGTAAGTGAATATATTGTGCTTTTCTGCAGAGAATCTCATGCATAATGGGATAGAGGAAAGACTGGTTTACTTGATCATGGTGCGTTGTTACTAGCAGCACACTTTTACTGTTATAGCAGATAGAGAAAAAACTTGCTTTGCGTATTTAATTTAAAAAAATATCTGTAACTAGAAAAGCTACAATTTCTGGGGAAATTGTGTTAAGTGTTCTTGCCTCTACCAGTAGTCTACAACTGGGGTGGGCGGAATAACTGGGTGGAGTGACTTGTCACTCGGCTGCCTGCTCACACACCTGGGTTCCTATGGCAACTCACTCTACAGCAAGGGCAGAGAAGAGCAGTTAAAAAACAAACTGCTCCAACTTGCTCACTTCACTGGCGGTTGCCATCTTCAAACGGTTGTAGTTTAAAAATTATAAATCCTACACCGAAGAGCTTTATATTGTGAGAATCAAAAAACCCAGACCTACATTTTGATGTATAGTATGTCTCTGAAATATTAAAAATGAAGGTACAGTCACAGATTAGAAATTGCCCTTCAAAATGGCTAGAGTGGAGTTTTAATGAATGTCAATGGGCAGCGTGAGTTGCAAACAAATGGTCATATTGTGAAAACTATCAGGACTATGGCTTAGCCGTGGACGTTTTTAGTGGCAGCAGGGATAGCTGAATGCTTTGGTATAAGATTTGTGTAGGTGGGCTTGAAAATGAGGGAGTGATGGCAGTTTAGAAATCATGTCCTGATTTTTCTGCTCTCACTCCAGCTTTTGTCAGCTCCCACTCTAGTTTTGAACATTCCACCATTCATTCCTATGGGACCAATTTCACCACAAAATGCCGATATTTCGTGAACCATTCAGCGAAACGTTCCACAAACTAATAGCACACCAATCGGGAACAATCCGCGTGTTTCTGTATATTATTATTATTATTATTATTATTATTATTATATACAGTATTTATAAAGCGCCAATAGTTCGCTCAGCGCTGTACATTATAAAGGGGGACAGAACATGTGACAGAACAATACCAATACAATGCAAAACATGAGGGGATCGAGGGCCCTGCTCTTTCAAGCTTACAATCTAGGAGGGAGGGGATGGTGGCACAGGAGGAGATAGCTGTGGGGGATGGAGTGGTAGGAAGAGTGGAGGAGGTCGGCAAGTTAGCAGGGGGCGGGGTAGGCTTCCCTGAAGAGATGGGTTTTCAGGGTGCGCCTAAAGGAGAGGAGAGTAGGTGATAATCTGATGGGTTGGGGAAGGGAGTTCCAGAGGATGGGTGACACCCTGGAGAAGTCCTGGAGGCGGGCATGGGAGGAGGAGACCAGGGAACTAGAGAGAAGGAGGTCTTGTGAGGAGCGGAGTGTGCGTGCTGGGCGGTACTTGGATATTAGGTCAGTGATGTAGTTCGGGGCAGTATGGTGGACAGCTTTGTACGTCAGCGTTAGGATTTTGAATTTGATCCGTTGCGCAATCGGAAGCCAGTGGAGGGATTGGCAGAGGGGGGTGGCAGAAACGGAGCGGTTGGAAAGGTGAATGAGTCTGGCAGCCGTATTCAGGATGGACTGAAGCGGGGATAGCCAGCGGCGAGGCAGGCCAGTGAGGAGGGAGTTGCAGTAGTCGAGTCGTGATATGATGAGGGAGTGGATGAGCTGTTTAGTGGTTTCTGGAGTTAGGAACGTGCGGATTTTGGCGATGTTGCGGAGGTGGAGTCTGCACGAGTTTGTTAAAGAGTGGACTTGGGGCTGGAAGGATAGGTTGGAGTCCAAAATGACACCAAGTACTCTGGCCTGCGGGGCGGGTTTGATGGTGGCGTTGCTGGACATGATGGAGAAGTCAATGGGGGGTGGTGTCCGGGCTGGAGGGAAGACAAGAAACTCGGTTTTGGAGAGATTCAGTTTAAGGAAGTGGAGCGACATCCAGTCTGATATGTCGCTCAACAGGTGTGTGATTCGGGCGGAGACCGAGGGGGTGAGGTGGGGGGTTGAGAGATAGATTTGTGTGTCGTCGGCATAGAGGTGGTAGTTGAAGCCGTGAGAGTGTATGAGTTGGCCAAGGGAGGAGGTGTAGATGGAGAAGAGAAGGGGCCCGAGGACAGAGCCTTGAGGGACCCCAACAGAGAGGGGGAGTGAGAGGGAGGTGGTGGCATTATAGGTAACGCTGAAAGAGCGTTGTGACAGGTAGGATGAGAGCCAGGATAGAGCAGAATCTCTGAGGCCAAGGGAGTGTAGTTTTTTGTGGAGGAGGGGGTGGTCGACTGTGTCAAAGGCCGCAGAGAGGTCAAGGAGTAGGAGCACTGAATAGTGGCCATTAGCTTTGGCGGTTAGCAGGTCGTTGGAGAGTTTGAGTAAGGCAGTTTCGGTATATTACTTGTCTATGTAGTGTAAAAACTGTGGGAGGAGTTAGGGTGGTAAATTTGCTATAAAATAAGAATATATATGTGAGATAACAGTAAGTGGTCTTGCCATGCAAGAACACTTCATAACAGTCACATGGAATTAAACTTCCCCTGAACCAACTTCCGTCAGAGATTAAAGCAGAACTAAATTGTCCTATCCTTTTGCAGGTGAAAACATTGCCGTCTTAGTCTACATTTAGACTTGCAGCTATCATTGTGCTGCACATACTGTACATCTGCTGTACATCATTTAGTAGAGTTCCTCTGGTAAGATACCTTAACGATACCTTAAAAAAGTGTCCTTTTTTGGTCAGGCAGAGATACCACAAGATTATGCTGAATAAATGGCTTGCTGTCAACAAAGGCAATGACTAAAGATGGCCTCTTTCAGTGGAAAACGATTAATTGCTTTTGGAGTGGAGTGAGGTTGAGTGCAGTCATTACAACACATCAGTTCTACCCTAATTAAGTGTTCTTGCATGGCAAGACCACTTACTGTTATCTCACATATATATTCTTATTATAGCCAAATTTACCACCCTAACTCCTCCCAAAGTTTTTACACTACATAGACAGTAAAATACCGAAACGTGCGGATTGTTCCCGATTGGTGTGCTATTACTTTGTGGAACGTTTCGCCGAATAGTTCACGAAATATCAGCGTTTTTGTGGTGAAATTGGTCCCATAGGAATGAATGGCGGAATGTTCAAAACTAGAGTGGGAGCTGACAAAAGCTAGAGTGTGAGCTGAACAAAAGAACACTTCACACAATATCCCCAGAAATTGTAGCTTTTCTAGTTTATCTTTGTATTTCTGTAGTTTTTCTTCTACCAGCATCTTACAGCTTTGGAATGTTTTGGGGACTTCTATGAAAAAAAAATCACTGTGAGTCCACCATATTTTTAACATTCACAGGTTTCCCACTGCTGCTAACTTCTCTTGTGATTTTACCTAATCCATATCACCTGTGGTGACCCTCTTCCTTTTCTGAGCAAAGGGGCAGGTCACAGGGAGATTTTCAAAACCCTCTTAAGTATTTTTCAGTAGCAGTGTAAAGAGTTTAGGCGAACTCTTCAAACTTAGCACTGTACCCAGTTGAAGTCTATGGGAACACAATCTTCCTATTTTTTTTGGCCTTTTTTCAAGGCTAATTTGCAAGCTTTATATAACATATATAGACATATATAACTGGTATTGCCTTAGCGGACATATTCCACTGCACAATATGTTTTAAAAAAAATACAATTCAGCAGGAAAAGGGTCTTCATACTTATGGCTTAGCTCTTTTGCTGCCAGGTGCATACGGCATATGGAACTACAGGCCAGGTCCGTACACTATACGGATCGAAATTCCTCCTCTGCTGTAAAGTCATGGTCATGAAGTCATGAACTCATAGCAAAAATGTTCAGCAGACTCTGCTGAACAAAACAATAGCTCTGATTAGCGGCTAACTAGCCACTGAGTAGAGCTATTCACCTAAACTTACCCCCCCCCCACGCTGATGCCGCCACCACCTCTCTACAACCCACCCACTTCTTCCTCCCTTCCTGCAGTCCCTAAAATGACTACGCTGCCCCTACTGTCCACTGCTTTCACCACCAATCCCTGCACCAGCAATTCTCACCAGCATCAGCCCCTGCCAGCATGGATCTCCACCGGCAATTTTACATTTAATCTTTTAAAATGATGTGCGCGCCCCCCCATGCTGGGACTCCCCTTCAGTGCCTCCCTCACTTACTGATCTCTCACAGCCTACCATGCAGCTCTGCTAGTTGGCTTTCCCTCCGCCCCCATTCATTTTGTGAATGAATAGGAGTCTTTACAGACTCCTATCTCATTCATTACAGTGCAGCTCAGGTTGCAAAAAGAGACATTAGGGGTTTGTTTAGCCTCCCCCCCCCAAAAAAAGGATGTAAAAATATATTTTTTTTAAATTGTAAAATTTAGTACAAATATAAAAACTAGTAACGGTAGATTTAGACATGCGTCTAACTTTCCTTTGCTGTTGAAGCCCGATTTGGATCACATTCCAGAGGGTACTGACAGGCAGTGAAGATGCAATTCTATGCCACCTCACCACCTGTTTTAACCCCATTTGTGCTGACAAATGCCCCCAACCTGTGCATCCCCGAGCAGTTAAAAACAGCCCTCCATTGGCATATGCTTTAGTATACCCCATGTGAACGAGGCCTTAGTAGGACTTTAGCAAGAGTTTTGTAAGTTATGCTGTGTTTATGGGTGCAAATAGAGATTTTAGTGTTTTGAAACAAATGAGAACTGATACACATTTGCACCCCTTCTTTTATTCCACTGGTCATGTGCTTTCAGAAAATAAATATATGGTTTGGGGGTTTGGGGGTCTTTTACAAAAGCTGTACATGAAAAATGAAAACCTCCAGATTTGTAGAAAAATTTGCTTATGTTTGATTTTCACCATTTCGCAAAAAGGCGCAATTTAAAATTTACAAATATTTGTTATTTCCTAACTCAATACAGGTTACACTTTTATGTTTAGCAGGAATTTTGTAAATTTTGCTGTGTTTTTATCTGCTAATAGTGATTTTAGTGTATTTTCAGTGAAAATATTGCTTAGATAAACATT